AATGGATTGTATTGATTGTTGTCGCAAATGGATAAATCATAAGGAACCAAATGTTTGACAAATTTATTATATGTTTATGGTTGGTTAACTTTAACTTTTTTCCATCAATACATTAGAAAAGAATACATACAATGAATGTAATTAATTAATTAGAAAGAAAAAAAAAGATTCGCAATATTGAATAATGAATAATCGATTAATTAGTAAATAATTATTTAATATTTAATAGAATGATTCAATATTTGATAGAAATTGGATATTGGAAAAATGAAATAACGAATTAATATCTAGTATTTTTTTAATGAAAATATTTTTAATAATTTAATAGAAATTGAATACCTAAAAAATTAAATAATTATTCAATATTTAATAAAAAATGGCAGGAATGAAATAACGGTTTAATTTTTGAAAATCTATAACTATTTAGGTGATGAAGTAATAATGCAAAAGTTAAAAATGAGAAAAAATGATAGAAGCAATTTTGCAAAATGATAGAAGCAATGTGCCCTAATTAATATGTAATTAATATTCAAAGAGTATCAAATAATTAATATTTAAAGAGTATCAAATAACCCGAAATAATATAATTCATTCAAAATTTTGTTTTTTTAAAAGTTCAAAACGACCGAAAAATTACAACAAATTGAAGAATTTGAAATTAAAATAAGTGAAAAAAACGAAAAAGAATAATTAAATTACGGAGAAAATATAAAATAAAAAGGAATACAAAATGTAAATGAATGACGTCATCAAAAATAATACTTAAATTTTTTAATAATCATTTCATTTCTATTCTTTTATTCTTTATTACATCAAAGAAATGATCGACTTTAACATACATTGTGATAGATTTTACATAGGAATAGAAATCATTTCTTTTGTTTTTTTTCTTTTTAATTACCATTTATTTTCTTTTTGAAAAATAATTTTGTTCATATGAAATTGGTAAAAAAAAAAAACTACGAAAAAAATTTCATGAAAATTTTTACGAGAAAAAAAAAGGGAAAAAATTGGGCAAAAAAGTTTCAACAAATTTTATTTTTTTATCAAAATGTAATTGTTAAATTTATGAGACAATGCATATTATTGTAAATAATATGCAAATTATATTTATCACTTATTTGCATCACAACAAAACTTATCACCAAACATAGCTTATTTGCATCACAACAAAACTTATCACCAAACATTGCTTATTTGCATCACAACAAAACTTATCACCAAACACAACTTATCAGTTTTAACAAAACTTATCAACTTTGCTTTTCTTTTTTCCACGTTTATGCTTATTTTATGCTTAATGCTTATGCTTTTATGCTTATACTTATTTTCAACCATCCTAGTGTATAAGTAATTAATCTTAAATATAAATAATATCTAAAATCGTAGCGCTAAAAATTATTACGTTAAAATTCAGTCAAATAAGTTAATACTAATTTTAATTGACAAATAATTTGATTCATTAAAAAGGTAATATTAAATATGAAAATTATATTCAATACGTGAAAATGAAAATTAAATTTAAATGCATGAATGATTCATAGTGAAATTAGCATATGTATTACAGTAGTGCTAATTTAATAACAATCAT